AAAACCCATGTGCCCAGATTTGCCTGGACACTGTCTTTAAACTGAAAAGGTTATACCTTCTTAGTATGGTTTTTCTCATCAAGCCTTTTGTCCCTAAGGACTGAAGACATCTTCTGCTGGTACTGTGGCATGTACTTGAACACAACCCATCCAGTATATGCAAAAAAGTTTGATGCAATAGCAAGCAAGATGTTAAGGAGAATAACTGGCAGCAGGACATTCATTGTTTGATTAGTGAAGTGGCCTAGACAAGTCCACAGCGTTGCAACCTAGACATGACATGAAGCCGGATAAATTGGTGTTAATTCCTGCATACCTTACTATGTTGAGTAGCTGCAGCTAACATGACCACAGATCCCGTAGTAAAAGCAGCAGCGAGAGTGTAGTCCTTGAAAAAGTGGAGTCTGTTTGGACGAATTCTCAAAAACCTACCGAGATTTCTTGAATAGGCAGGACGGTTGTCACCAATGCATTTCCCCAAACGTTTTTTCTTTCTGATAGTATCACTTGGAAGACATTTAATGCTTCAAGAGCGAAGAAACAAATTCCTAAAAGTCAAAAAAATCATTATTGTTTCAAATGCGTGTTCCAGCACGTACCTAGAGAAAAGCAACATGTGCTGATGACAAACCACAAGTTGCACGATGTCGGCCAGATGTTGAATATACCAGGATGATGAAAGAAAAGAACAGCGAGGCCTCCGATTGATGTTGATAAGGAGCGCATGTTCTGGTAGAAAACTTGAGTATCCTGAAAGGAAGAATTTTTAAATTATTATTCAAAAAACGCGGCCTACCTTTCCTTCCTTTGGCCGGTACATCTTCAAGGCCGCCCTTACTATCATTAAGATGAAGTCGCCAGTACTTAGTACCAATGAAGCGGTTGCAGGCCCATTAACAACTGTATTCTAAATTATCAAATCACGAGCTAGTAGAACAAGTCGCATCAAAACAGGTCAAATATCATATCTCAGTTCTAGGTAAATGGTAGTTCAATAGAGTAAAGCAAGATCTACAAGATGGTGGTTGTAAAATTAGCCGTTAGTCATTTTTTATTTGTCTTTAGCAAAGCAACCCCAAAAAAGTAAGAGGTACTTGATAGAGCAAAGCAAGCTTTACAAGCTGGCTTCCAT